AATCAAGTCGTAGCAAGCGCAAGAAAAAGGGATGACTTGGGTGGGACGCGTACCGCGTCACAATGTCCCACGAGGTGCGCAAAGTGGACGCGTTACCGCGTCACGCTGTCGTCAACGTGTTAACAAGACAAGAAGGTAGTGCATGTGGTTATGGCCGCTCTTACCCATGCCCTGATCGAAATGAAAGAGTAACAGCAAGCGTAGTGTGAGATCCATTTATAACGAATCGCACCTCGTTTAACGAAGCATGCCATGAGTCTCTCGTGTGTAGTGAAGTCTGTTCAGTTTTTAGAAGGATCAGTTGGCAGCAAGGTGATGTCTAACGAGTTGTTGTGAAGGCGAGCAAATGATAAATACTCCGGAAGGCTAACTAATCGCCCAAGTGTTCTCGTTTAGAAAATCACACAGCGCTAAGGCAGGACTTTTGTGGATGCACAGTTTATTGATTTACGGCATTGCATATGCTTCTAATTGCATCATTGCTTCTTTTTTAGTGGTATTTTTTGAGCTTTCTTTTTGAAAAGTTTACTGCTCGATAGCTTGCTGAGTGGAAGTCTGGTTAGTCAGGGGAGATTCGATCACGCCAAACATACATCTATGATGCGGGGACTTCAGCCAACGCGCCACCCTGTAGTTCTGTGGTGTATTTACCAAAATTTGAGCTCAGGTGGGGTTGGCGTAGCTGAGAGTGGAGTTGTCAAGTTTCTGAGGGCATGAAATCTGTGAGTTGATTTTTATCTGAGCCAACCGAAATTCTCACGCCACATCAAATGGCCGCACCTTGAGCTTTACCGCCGGCCAATTTACAACTTCACAGCTTTCAGCTTGATCTGGAAGTCGTTCAAATTGGATGACCTAAGGATTGTTGTCGACCTCAAAGGGTGAATTCATCCTATGTAATTTCCATGAGTAATTCACGCATTGCTCGTGAAAATTACTTTATTATTGCAGAATGGTTTAATTACGGCATTGTTCCTCACAGCACCACATCTCCTTTTCGCAATTTGAGCTACATTCTGGTCTATGTGGTAATAAGAAAGCATAAGGTGCTGTGAATTCTTCACTATTCGCATTGTTCCTATACAGAAATTCCATCAAGAACTGTTTATGCATAGTGTACAGAAAGTTAAGTGCGCTTCTTCAAAAAGTATGCAATTGGAAAAGTTTGTATCATTGACTTATAAAACTGTTTTTTACGCACTAAGTTCGAAGGCGGATTTCACAATAGGAAAGGCAGCTCATTAGAAATAAGGGTAGAGGGGGAGGGGTCAGTGGTGCAGGGATGAAGAAAGAACCCATGAAAAACTACCCAGAGTCCGAGAAATGGGACCCTTTCCTTGTCCATTCTGATGCGACTTTCATCGGAGCTGCTCCTCTTCAACGCTAACACACTCTCTCTGCTGAAGGGCTAGTGACAGACGGCGAGGGGTAGGGCCGGCAGCGGCGCGTGTATGACTCTGCAGAACGCGCATCGTGTCGCATCCTTAGGGGTTCCTCTATCTTTCCACTAGGTTTTCTAAGACGTAAGCAAACCAGCCCTTTTGGCACATCGGCTGGGACCGTATGCTGAATGTTGGGGAGGGGATGGTGTCCCCGACGGTGGACGGACAACTTCAACGCGGTCCTTAGAACCGCCACAATTTGGCGCTTACCTTAGAACTAAGCCTTAAAGAGAGGACGGGTCCGTCCCCTCTCCTAGGCTTAGTCCAAGGGTGAGCAGACCGGTCCTTCTGGCGAAGCTACTGGACCAGCTGCACCACTTGCGTCAGTACTCTCCTATCGTACCAACCGAGTTGAAGTAAACCGTCGACCGTTGGGGACCCCATCCCCTCCCCAACATTCAGCATACGGTCCCAGCCGATGTGCCAAAAGGGCTGGTTTGCTTACGTCGTTCTTCTATCTTTCCACTAGGTTATTTTCTCCTTCTTCAACCTTCGGCCTTATTGTGGAATCCTCCATTAAAATCGGCGAAGACTGTCCGCATAACACATTGGATGGCAGCTGCGATCACGGCTTATTCGCTTTTTTTCACGATGGAAAGCAACCACTTTTACTCTCTCTGCTATCTAATCACTCGCCACGTATAGACCTGCGGCGAGTGATTAGATGATCGGTGGGCGGACCCCGCCAACCGCGCCATGCTAGGTCGCCGAGGTCAAATCTTTCGATGCCAATTGCGCGTCAGTCCGCACCCTCAGGAGGTCCGCCGGTCTCTCAACTAGGTGAATTACTCCCTTCTTCGACCTTCATTCTTATCGTGAATTCCTCCTTTAAATGCCACCCTGAGCAGAGCAGAATTGGAGTGGCCAATGTCTGCTGAAAATACTTTATGCTTGATCTTCTGATCCATTTTGGTAAATGGAGGATTCGGGAAGCCTGGACCGGATGCGTTCCTTTTTGCTGTGCAAATGTGATACGGCGAATTTCCTGTAGTGAAAAAAGTGCAAATTCGATTTCAAAATGACTCACTCGCACTTTTTTGTCTGAAACGACTCTGCGAATCGAAATGAATGATTTGGATTGTTCAATCCAATCCTATTAAAGCGAAAGTGGTGGTGGTCGATGATCATAGCGCAGTGGTCTCGGCGAATAGTCGTGCATTATTAGTTAGGCAACGGGCGTGATGATCGACGGTCATAAGCAATTTTTTGGTCACTAATCTCATGAAATCCACCATTAGTGACGAGGTAATGGAGTAAATTCGTTGTAGGCAAGATGAAGCGTCGAAAATCGACGAAGAGCTTTTCTCGAAGTATGGCTTCAAAGTCGAGCAACTGATGGAGTTAGCTGGATTGGCATGCGCGAAAGCTGTTCATGCTCAGTATTCAAAAGGTAGGTACTAATCGCGAAGACAAACGCACAAGGTAAAAACCAAAAGTTATTTTCTAACTTGTTTTTTGGTTTCTTTTTCTATTGAGTAACAATTTGTATTGTGTGCTTTCGTGAATTTTAACTACGGCTTAGCCGTGTTGACGTCATCAGCGATGCAATCTGGAAAGTTCCCTGAAGTGGTTTTTACGGCGAACACGTTGAGTTCAGAGAACATACGAGAAACTGGTCGCTGTGAGGGAACGAGTTGTTGTAGATAATTTTCCCTGTCTACAAAGCAGTAACAGGGAACGCTTGCAGTCGAAAACATACACGGAAATTGACTCGTTTGAATTTTCTGAAAAATTTGAAAATTTTGAAATTGACTTGTTCCTGTTTATTTGCTGTTAGCCACAGTTGCGGCCGCAGTTGCGAAAGATTCACAAGAATGCTGGGTTTGAGCAAAACTTTCGCTCCAGACAGGACTCGAACCCGCACCTACACGGAAATATTGTTGTCACGTATACGTACACGGAAATATTGCTATCTTCTGGTCCCTACACCTAAGTGTTCATCACCAATGTTGGATTGAAACCGTGACGTGGGTTCCTCAACTATTAGACGCTAGGCCGCGAACATACTTCGCGCCATACTTGCAGTTTACTTGCACTTCGAGTGTGGAATGGATATGTATTGATTGAGTGAATTAGAACTATACAATGCTGTATGGCACTTGTCGCTAATCGCATCAACACGTTTACGACAGCCCTCGTTTCAGTTTTTTTGGCCATGTGGGACAGGAGCAATTTTGCGAGCGCGATTGCCTCGCCTCTTATCCGTAAATTTCGAGTGATAACTATGCAAAACACGAATGACACAAAATCATTACAGCAATATCGAATGCGTAGAGTACATTGGGGGTTAGTGGTGAAATTCCTATCAAAGAAGTGTAGTGGTGAAAAAGCAAATTACTATTTTATTGTCAAAAAATATTTTTGACCTTGGGTAAGAAAGGAACAGGAAAAACCTCTATTCTTTCTTTTCGTGCTGCATGTTTTTACTTCTGCTGCTCTTTTTTCCATCACCTAGCAATGCGAACAAGAAGAAAAAGTGGAATGAACCGAGCTGCCAAACTTTTAGTGCTCAGAAAACCTCTAATTGAAACTGAACACATTTGAAACATATGCGCGAACCAAATGCCATTGCCAAGTTATTTATCGATGGTGATCTAACTGGAATGTGCATAAATAGTATATAACAAAATTCTTGTGAATAAATGCAAGCGCGACGAAATAATGATACCCTGCGCGTGCCGTCGGCTGCGTCACCTGTCATCGATGCGTTAATGGATCCAAACCAGCACTTGAAAATGAAATATGATGTGGTTTGAGATTTCATCTGTCGTATTTCGCTCAATCATCCTTTCCGGTTCACGAACTCATTTGTATCTTTGTGTTTCTCATTTTTTCCTTGCTCTGAGGGTGCCTTTTAAAATCTGATCCATAGTTTCTATTTGAATTGGTACGTAGCAAACACAAACGTTTTCCCCCTCAAATAGAGTTCTCTTGAAAGGAGGCGGGGGATTGTGATGTGATGAGATCAAAGTTTTGAATGGCGTCGCGTGCACGCGTCGCTGCGTTGGCGGTGGCACAGTCGTAAGCCGGTGTCAGACTTTGCGATTCGCTGGATTCGCGAAGTCTGACACAAACGGTAGGGTTGGCCAGCTATTGACGTCTCTGAAGCGTTTCGGCTATGGGTGCTATGCAATTTTTCAATCAACAATGGAGCCTGCATTCAGTCTTCAAAGCCACGTTGGTTTTGATAAAAAGTGAATGAATATGCGTATGTGAAGGGGAAATGGAAGGGGTAGTGCAATGTTACGGAATAGTATGTTTAGTAAGGTAATCAGGGAATCTTCATGAAATTGTCACCGCAGAAATCCTTGCAAATTTGCGCTTATTCTTTTAAATTAGTGTCTTTTCCACTGCTGCAGTAAGATACGAGATGAATTGCAAATGCGGTCGCGGAGGACTAAAATTTAATTTTTAATTTTAAAACCAAAAATGTCACAGAGGACTAAAATTTTCGAGAGCTCAATTCAGTATTGCTCATATAGAGCAAGTGGTCAAGAATGGGAAAGTAAAAAAATATACATCGTGAAATAATTAGTCGTGGAAGAATTAATGTAGTAGCACAGCCAGACACTCAAATCAGCTAGCATAGACCTCTTGCTGGATGTATAAAATGCAATATGTGCTTTTTTCACATTTTCTCTCTGAAAAATTGCCATTTCAAGGAAAGACTCTCGTATTGTGTGGACCTGGTAACAATGGTGGTGATGGTTTCGTCTGTGCCCGACACCTTCAACAGTTCGTGGGTTTCAATTTGTTCTCTCTCACTGCAGTTGTTGATGCCCTAGTTTTATTTTTTTTTTCCTTTTCAAAAATTCTATTCTATTTCATGTTTTCATCAGGAAAATGACATTTTTGTAGCGTTCAAGTATAGGGTGATGAAGAAGTCCTAAATTCTGCTGTCATAGTTTATCGTGCTAGCGTCATTATGCGTCATTAGCCTTCGGAATTCCTCTAAGTATCACGGAGCATGAAAATCTGGTGCTGTTTGGGTGACGAAAATAGGAATTAATTCATGTGGGAGAATCAGGACTTTGGTCGCTTATATCTGGAAATAAATATTTTGACTTTATGGGGTTAACCAAGTTTAGAATAACGATGGGTAAAGGCAAGGGTAAGAGGTTCATGTCGGGTCATCTCTTGGAAGGAATTGCGTGGGATGTTTTTCTAATTAGAGGCAGACCCCCCACCCGATGGGCAGACCCTCTCGTGAAATTGTACGGCCAGTGTGGCGCAGAAGAGCCCGAAGCAGAGCGACCTGGAAGATGTGCGACCTGCGTTTCTGGCGTGCCCGGGACGAATAGCGGTCGAGAAGTAGAAGATAGATCTTCCTTGTTCTATTATTCCTAGTATTTCTTTTTTCTCCTATTCAGCGAACTCTGATGTTTCAAAAGCTGCATAAATACGCACTGTGTATTATTGTTACGGAATCTCTATCGGATTGGAATCTCTGTTACTCCATGGAAATCGAATTTCAGGATTCCCATGGAGTGCTGGTAGCATTTGAATAGACATCAATTGTGGATTGTTATTGATTGGTTATAACCTGTGGCGAACATCCGAATGAAGGAGCTGTCTTACCAGGAAAGGTCATTAGGCCAACCCGGCCAAATGAAATGAGGTGCACATTTCTGTACGCAGCATGAGACGCTGAACTCAAATCTGCTTTCATTATCTGCTGAACTCTTCTCTGAAAGGAGTTACGGAGGGTTTTTGTTGCCGCCCTTGATTTTCAGTGTTTTACCTGCAATCACATGTTAGCCGCACTATAAAAGTATCGAAAGGAGAACCGAGGCACTGGTGATGTGAGCTTCGAGTAAGCGCAGTTTATAGTGGTCTTGCCGCTTAAGTGGCAGGTCGCGGGTTTGACTCCACCCGGGTCTTAGTAGTTTGCTTTTTTTTCCAACATGGCTGAAAAGCTTTTTGAATCCGTTATTTTAACAACGGTCGCCCGACGCTACATCTCCGAAGAGTTTGCAAACATATCTTATTAAGTTTAAGCACTACTTGTCTGTGAGTGCACATGGTGCCAGTAGTGCAGGTGCTATGCTTCACTGTGGCAAGACAGGTACGATATTCGTTTCGAGGGGATCGAAACAGGGCCTCTAGGCCGATGTCAGACTTTGCGAATCGCGCGATTCGCTACTAGCGATTCGCGCGATTCGCTAGCGTCCGCGGTCGCGTTGCGGTACCAGCCAATTGAGTGATTCACTGGCCGCGACGCGACCGCAGACGCTAGCGAATCGCGCGATTCGCAAAGTCTGACATCGGCCTTAAAGGGATGTTTTCGCGTCCCAAATCTGAGGCGATGAACTAATTGAGAAAAAGCGGGGCAGTGATGGGGGATTACCACTCCTCAAACTCCACTTTTTTGGGTTGACCAATCATGGACGACGGGGAAAGGGGAGAGAAGGTGTTGTATTAGGAAATAATGGTTTGTAGATCTTTGGATGATGCAGACGGGCAAGCCAGACACAATTTTTGTCTATTATGAAAAGTTTTTAAAAATTTATTTCTACCCAAGTGCCAGCCTTTTGTAATGGATTGGTGGATCGGTGAGTAAGTGACTGCCCAAATTTTCGAGGTTAGGTCAAAATTTCAGAATTCGCTAGAAGTTTGCTCAAAGGGAGAGTCTGGCTCCCTGATTACGAATATCATACTTGTTCGAAGCAAAAATGCCTGGCGCCTGCGCTACAAGCGCCCAAAGTAGTGAGGAGCGATGCCGCCCAAGTTCGTTATTAATTGCCCTTAATTCTTTGTACTGTTAACTATACGCAAGCATGTTGGACTAGCGATGTTAGGAATCTTCCTAGCTATCTTACTGCAAACGGCAAAAGAACAAACTCGCCAGGGAGTCGATCCCCTGACCTCTTTTTCGTGAGCCTCGACCACAGCCCCTGCGCTTTTCTGCTTCATAATTCCTTTCAGAGAAGAGTTCAGCAGATAAGGAACACATATTTGAGCTCAGCGTCCCAAGGCGCGTATACACATATACATCTCATTTCAATTGGCCGGGTTGACCAAATGACCTTTCCTGGTAAGACGAAGCGGGGTGGGTGTAATCGGGTTCCCACAGGCTTACGACTTTTTTGCGGTTACTACGAAAATGGAAAGAATTAAGGGGTTGCAAAACAATCGGTAAAGGAGGGTGAGCTATTTGGCGTTGATTGATTCCTTTCCTTTTTTGTTAGAAATTTGTATGCGACACTATGCTACCAATTAAATGACGTCAAGGCATGGAAGTCTAAGTTGGCTTGGCCGTGGTAATATTGGATCCTGAGTCTGACCTTCAAATCGAGCGCTTAAGAACTTCGAAAAAAGAAAGGAAGAAAAAAAAAGAAAAAAAAGGCTTCTCTCGACACTGTCACCAAAAATTGGTATAACTCAAATTAACGTGATTCGATGAATTTTGTCAGGAAAGTTCAACTACATCCAAACTTACTTTTTACATGAATTTTTTTGACTATTAAAAGAGCATTCCACGATAAGGTTGAAGGACGGAGAGAGAGAATATGGCACTATTTACCCTTTACTGCCCCACTCCTCGAGAACTGAGCCGGGTTTTATCGAAATTTGTCCATGACTGTGGATTTGGCTAGAAACTTGCCTTCAAGGGTAATTCGACCCGTAGAACACGAATATCGCTGCCAGAGCATCTCGGATCACCAAATTCGCTGGAAACTTGTCTTCAGAGGTACTTTGACCCGTAGAACATGAATATCACATTAGTTCGTTGCGAGTGAGCCTGTAGCCTGCGCTACGGGCGCCCGCGCAAAACTGTGTGATAGCGCCGGCGCCTGTGGCGCGGGCGCCAAGCGTTTTCGCGTAAACCGGTGTGATATTCGTGTTCTACGGGTCGAAATACCCCGGAAACAACTTTCGCCAAATCCTTAGTCATGGACGAATCAAAATCCGGCTCAGTTCCGTCCCCCCCCTCCTCAGGGTGCAGGACGGTGCGCGTTTCCCAGCGAAGGGTATGCCCTCAAATGGTATAGCAAGACCGTATCCGCGCCGCTGCACGCCCAATCATGGGAAACCCCTCGCCGTTTGACTCTAGCCGTTTGGCAGATAGACATAAGTGGCTTTATTTATCGGGTTTTGGCCGTTTTCCACGGTTTTCTCTTCATTCCTACATCCATGACCATCTCCTCCTTGATTTCTATCTAGCTGCCTTTGCATCATAAACTCTGCCTTTAAGCTGAACATTTTGAAAGATCGACCCCAATTTACAAGGGAAGTCCAGTAGCGACTGAGGCTTCTCGTGGTATATAAAGTATTAGGAAAACTCGTAGTGAAATAAATGAATAATAATGAAATCATGATCGAGGAGAGAAATTTATATGTATTCATATAAAAATATTTTAATGAATGGGGCGACCCGTCCTTGCAGAACCGAATTAGTATTGTAATATAGTCACTGAAGATTGAGAACTGTGAGCTCTATGAATCATGAATCATAATGAGATTCGCAAGAAAAAAGCGAGATTCAAGTATGAAAGGAAGGATAGTTTTTTTTCTTCAAATGAAAACATGTGAACATTACGGGCAAGTGGGTGAATAGACGGCTTTTCACGTGAGGCGGCAGGTAACTATAACGACGTTTGTAATCAATGTAAAATCCTAATGCGGGAATTACGCCCTCATCGTCGTGACGATTTATTGGTAGTCGGGGGCAAAGCTGGGAAAAGTAAGTGTACTATTGTTGGTGAGGTTTCCATAATATTGATCTTGAAAAAGCTTAAAATCAGTCGCAAATAAAGGCAACAATACCGCAGTGATTTCAAATGTGAGCTTCTCGAACTCGCACAGGTGTAGGAAGACATTGCAGTGTTTCACCACTCTTTCCGGTGGATGCTGTCTGAAAGAGTGACAAGCGCAAGAGGCACTCATCTTAAAGAATGCTTTAGCTTTTGTTTTTCAAGCATCCAGTAATCGAAACCAAAAAACGAGAAAAATGTTGGATGGATAGCATTTCGAAAGTCATGTTCTGATCGTCCTAACATTAATCACGACTCACTATCACAAACACTTTCCATAATTCGAAATTCATATTAATATGTACTTACTGAGCAGATATTATCTCTTACAAGTAGTGTCCAGTGTCCAAACAAGCTTTTTTTTAATTCTCATCTCTGAATTCGATACCACTTAGGAGACCTTGGAAAATGCTTTGTGCCAGATGCATTGATTCTCTAGCAACTGTATGGACGTGTGGTAGGAACAGTGCGAACTTCAGTTCATATCCTTCTCCCCCGGTTTTCTGACACATGGAGTAACAGTTATCTAGTTAATCGTATATACGGTGAGGCAAGCTTAGAAAGAGGGTCCTTATTCTTCGAGAAGGTTATCCTTTGCGTTCTCGACAGAGTTAGATCTCAAGCAGGTGTCACCGTGCCGCGATTCCGCCGCGAGTAATTCTCATGCGAACGTCCATCGTCCCCATTAGAACAATCGAGACGTCTGATATGAACAAGTGAATCATGAAAACTCGTCAATTCAACCATCACCGAATCAAGCGGAATGCGGCGGATTGGAAAGCATCCTCGCATATTGGTAGGGGCACTGGTGATTTCCTGGTGATCCTCAGTGAATTTCGCGCAACTATCGCCGCGAACGGATTGCAGACGCTGAAACCACCGCAATGGCTCCACTTCAACACATGCGCGCAGATTACAGAGTCGGATACTGATTTCAGACCAAACGATACCTTACAGCTACGGGATCGGTTTAATTGGTACAAAGTCGTCCGTGAATAAAAACACGACATTCACATCGAGGTCCGATGGTAAGTGGTTGAGAAGTCTGCAATAAGGGCGGATCCATATTTCAAATCCCACTGAGATTATGTAT